TCTCAGAAGCTTGAACACAAATAAAATATTTTGTGTATTTCAAATGATAGAAATTGCATAGCTAGATTTAAAAATTCTGTAATTGTAGAGCTGTTCCCAGCCCCCCATGGGCCTCCTTGGGGAGGCAGACAATGGAACTTGGGTCCCATGCTTAGATCAGCTCTGCTGGGTTCTCTGTGCTGTTCCTGTACCAGGTGAGCTAGGCTGCTGGGACATTGTTGGGAAGATTTCTGTATCTAGAGCTGCTCCAGTGCCCCACTGGCTTCCTCGAGATGGTGAACAATGGGACTTGAGTCCCTGTGTCTAGCTCAGCTCAGCTATATTCACTGTCTGTGCTGTGCTGGCTGATTCTGACCAGGGTGAGCCAGGGAAGCAGGCAGATTGGAGCCAAGCCTCCTCCACAGCACCAGGTGTCCCCTCCACAGGACTGTGAGAGTGAGCGCCAAGAGACTGATTGACCAACAGATGACCATGCACAAAAAGGACCCAGACCTCCTGATTGGATGTAGCCAATAGGCAGCTCAGTCTTCACGTGGGTAACCTAGTAAGGGGAGCAGGGGCTGTCTCTGACAATTACTCTGTTGCCTGCTCTTTGATCACTTCCCCTTCCCCCTAGTGTGTGTGTGTGTGTGTGTGTGTGTGTGTGTGTGTGTGTGTAATTGCCAGGCCACAGAGGAAGAAGATGTAGGCAGTCCTGATGAAACTTGATAGGCTAGGGTCAGATGGTAGGGGAGGAGGGCTCCCACTTTCTGAAAAATAGGGGAGGAAGAGGGAGGGAGGGTGGGACAGAAAGGAGACGGGGGGGGGGACTACAATCGGGATGTAAAGTGAATAAATTATAAAAATAAATTTAAATTTAAAAAATTCTGTAACTAGGTAGTATTCTTTGTAACACTCTGTGATCAGCTGGAACTATTTAAAACAAGGTTTTAGAGCAAAAGGCTGGGGGAAAAATAACATTTTTATAAAGGCATAGCAATCCAAACAGGGGCAAAACCTTTAATGTGCTTTTGGGCATTTTTGTTTTGTGTAGAGATGTGAAGAGTCCATATGTAGCTAAGATAGAGAGGTGGGGAAATTTTTGTAGGATGAGAATAATGACAAATCCAAGGTCTTGTGTCTCTAAGTGATGAACACATTCACTGGGCTATGCTGCTATCTTGTATACTGTTTTTGAAGAGACTTAAGTAAAACATTTAAGTGCTGACATATATTCCTGAATTTTAACTGCATTTTAAAAACAACGAAAATGATTCCTTCTGAATTACTGATAATAAAACAAGACACTACTGATAGTTTAATAATGATTAAAATGTAATGAGATGCACTACAGTCTTTGATATTTATGGTTGAATGTGCATTTGTCAAATGTGGTCCTAGGATTCTAACTCCACCTGACATTCTCTGCCTGGGCATTCTGGTTTCTGATGCAATTTTAATAACTTCTAGAGAGGGGAGTCAGTTACTTTATCTTGAAGGGTTTGAAATTTGTAATACATCTCATCTAAGGTTTAAATGTTTGAGGCAGTGTAAAAAGAAGTTGTGCCTCAAACAGCATGTATTTGGCGGAGTGAAATTTCAGCATCAGTGTTTCAAAGACATGGACTGAATTCAAAACTACTGGGGGAATTCTGTCTTTCTTACTAAGCAGTTTGTACTGCAAGTGGCTTAGATTCTGTGTTCAGATTGTTTCATCTGTGTAATGAGATTCACAGGATCTTCCTTGTGAAATTGGTAGCATGCACAGAGAGTCCTTAGAACTGAATGTGGTCCATGATAAATGGTCAGCAAATATCATCATCACCATCACCATCACCATCACCATCATCATCAACATCGTCACCATCATCATCAGTCACATCAGCAGCTCTGGTTCTCTATCAGGACTGGTAATTTGCATATTAGCTGATATTTAGTGGATATAGTCAAAGATTCTGCTACAATTATTTTTATATTGGGCAGGAGAGATGTTCCAACGGTTAAGAGCTCTAGTGCTGGTGCAGAGGACCGAGGTTCTGTTCCTAGCACTCACACAGTTGCTAACCATCATCTCTAGCACCAGTCCCAGAAGAACTCACACCCTCTCTAGCTTCTGCAGGCATGGCACACTTCTGGGGAAATAGTCATACAAACAAAACACCCATGGATTTTTTTTAAAAAGTACATTTGATAGTTTGCACAACAAATAATTGCAAATATCAAAATTTCAATGTGGCTGGGGTTGAAAAACACAAATTAAGGTGTTCTGTTATTGCAGATGTAGTCAACAGCTAAGTGGGTGCTTTGTATGTGCTGGAGACTGTTGAACACTGTATATTGTCGTTCATTTGAATTTTTCAATTACTAAGAACTTCTGTGATCACCCCGTCTAGAGGATAAAACAAAGACTAAAGAACTTACCTCAAGTCACCCAGTCTTTTGAAGAGTTCCTGATCACAGTTGATGTAAAATTCAATTCTTAATTTTTTTCCCACTGAGTTGTGGTGTTGTCTTCCAAATATGAATGGGCAGGAAAAGATCATAGTAGTAGGAGAAAAAAGGTCAATGTGTTCAAGATGTTTGAAATATTTATTGGCAGATTGGATTTGATGTTGGTTGGATGGAGGGCTTAAAGAGAGAAGGGAGTCAAAATTTCACAAAAGATAGGCAGAATTCAATAAAAGGCAGGTACCTTTGAGACATTACTTAAAATCAATAAAATCACTGGGGAAAACAGGAAATTTAATTCATTTTCAGTCAGTGTTTATATTTTTTATATTTCAGTTATTGAAACACTAAAACAGAAACAGTTTAGTCATATAAGGTAGAAAAAGAGTAGAGTTCAGGTTCAAGATACTGCATTTGACACCTATCTGATTGTTTAGAAGTGTTGTTTCTTTCAGCCTGTGGAGTCCAAATTTTATTCTTGGTGGTACAACACAGGATCCTTCTCTGGAGACCTAGCTGGCCTGGATATAGCCAAGTAGCCTAGTCTGGCCTTAAACTCATGGCCATCTTTCTGCCTTACCTTCCTGAGCAATATGATTATAGTCTTGCTCCAGGACACTAGGTTTGGAATCCAAGTTTTCCTTTTAACTTAAATAAATCTATTTTCTGTTTTCTTTAATTAGAAAGCAAAACAACAACAACAAAACCCCCCAATGTATATGTGCATGTGAGCAGGGGTACCCCAGAGGCTAGAGGAGTCAGATCCCTTTGGGGCTAGAAGTTATAGGTGGTTGTGAGCCACCCTCCATGGATGCTAAACTCCAGTTCTCTATAAGAACTGCACACACATGTGACCATAGAGGGAACATGCTCTCTAGTTAACCTGTCAAATGAGGAAAGAGAACTATGCTCTGCTGCAAAGCTCTGTTTTACCTGGACTTTTTTTTAGGCTTAAGTAAAAAAAAAAATAAGACTGCTGAGTGCTCAGCCCTAAATGGGACAGACATGTCACACTCCAACTCCCGGGGTTCACGGAAGTGAGGGCGTAGAGATAGCAAGATCCTAGGTGGAGGATGACATCAAGGAAACAGCTTCCCAGGCACAAGAGGGCAATTGCACAAACAGGAACTCATAGCTCTTGAAACAGCATGCCTAAGAGGGGCAAAGCTCCAGTCAGACAAAACTCCAGTGCAGAGGAGGAAAAGCGGGTATGGAACCCCACCAGTAGCCGAGGAGCTATTGGCTTGTGAGAGCTGCTTGGAGAGGGAGAGTCAGTTGAGCACGCACCAGAACAGTCCCCACCGCCGAGAGTAGCTGGGCAACGCAAACTGGACTTGAAGGAGAATGTAAAATTTGAAAAGCTATCTTAAACTTGGATAGAAGGGATAGAAAGGGTGGCTGAAAGGATTTGAGACACATGGAGTGAACATATTCAAAATACCTTGTATGAAATTCTCAAAGAACTAATAGAAATATTCTTTAACCGGTCTGGATGGTGAAGCCCTTCAAAATCTGCTCACATTATGCTTCAGAAGTCAATCTTCTGTCAAAGCCATCCTTTGTGCAAGCCATCTGCCCACTCCTGAGTCTTACTAGCTGCGGAAACTGTAGGACCAACTAGCATCTTGGCCACAGGCATCCAGCTGGGTCTCCAGGAGACTGCAAGAACCCTGTACAACTCTATTTTCTACAGACTCCACAATGAAGAGCAATAGAGGGTTGCCATCTCAGAATGAAACAGGTATTGTCTGTTCCCTCCCAAGGTACCAAATAAATCCTTAATTCTAATCTCTGAGGACTTGTTTCTGTTTGAATGTGTCCAGCCTTTAGGGCTTTAGTAATTGTGCCGGTTCTTTTAAAGAAACAGTTCTTCAGGCCCAGGAAGATGGTTAGAAGGGCTTGTGGCAGAGGCAGAGAGAGGCAGACAGTCTGAGTTCTATCCCTGACTCCCATGTGGTAGTGGAAGGAAAGAAACGCTCAAGTCAGTAAATGTAAAACAACAAAAAGAATTCAGCATTTCAACATTTATCTTGTGCTACCGTCTTTATTGATAACGTATTGGTTTGCTATCTACCTCTGATATCGCCCCTAATTTAGGATCCTTTTTAAACGGTTTATGCTTTTGAATATTGCAAATCACCTCAGCAATTTTAAAAAGAGTTTTAATCCAGGACATAAACTCAAACGAATTCATAGTGACAACCCCACAGGCTTGTGGCTGGGAATGAAAGAATGTTTGTACAGAGAGCCTCTGGGATGGTTCCTCTCAGAGGCCTCAGTTCTGCCCAGCAACTCTGACTCAGGTGAGGTGTCTGGTGAGCACCTGCAGAAGATCAGCGCTGAGAGCTCCATGTTGTGAGAAAAGAAAAAAATAAAAAAGAAAAGAAAAGAAAAGAAAAGAAAAGAAAAGAAAAGAAAAGAAAAGAAAAGAAAAGAAAAAGGTGAGGCCACCGTGCCTCACTTTACTGTTTCCATCCGGGTTCTGGGTCTCCGCGCAGGACTCAGGTGCCAGCTGTATCCCTGCCTGGGCGTTGCCCCGGAACCGCGCCGCCGCAGTGGAGCTCGGACCCCGGCACCCGGCACCCGCGGGAGGCGCTCCCGGCTCCTATCCGTCCCCAGCTCTGGCCGCGGGATCCAGCACCGCCCGCGCCACCCAGGCTGCGCCATGGGGAACCTACCATCTGCCGCGAAGCACTGCCTGAGCTACCAGCAGCTTCTCCGCGAGCATCTCTGGAGCGGGGACTCAGTGGCAGGCGCGCTGGACCCGGCGCAGGTACCACCACGCGGCCTAGGGCGCCCCCACCCTTCGGCACAGCCTCTTCCCCATCAACCTCACCTTCATCCCCTTTGTGTCACCCCTGGATGCCAGGGCCCTCTCTGCAGCCGTTGGGTCGTCAGTGTGTGGCTCTGTAGCTGAACCGCCTTTCTTCCTCTCTGCTGCGAACAGCAGGCTTGTCCTTTCAGGCCTACACATTGCCCTACCCCAGACCATTTGCAGATCACCTACAGGAGCGATCTCGTCTGCCTGTTTCCCTTGGAAAGGACGCATTATCTCATGCAATTGAGGTCCACAGGCGTTCTTTCAAGGACAGTGCCCTTTTCTCACTCGCATGCTTGTGATGACAGCCTACAAGCATGTCCCCTTGTGTGGTAGAGAGAGGATGAAGCCAATACACACTAGGAAGACGCACTACAGTTATAATCAGACGTCAGGTCAGAACACGGACTAGCCTTCGTGTGTTTTTCTGCGTCCACAAAATTGAACAAACAAATAAAACTATTACAGCATAAAATTATTCCTGCATTTTCTTGAGAGTCAAATAAAGGCAATAATAGCCTACTTAGTGTTTATCGGCAATCGTGCCAGTTATGTGAAGATAAGGTATATAAAGAAATTCACTTTTCACAGGAAAGCTTAAACTTTAAACATAACATGATGTGGCGATTTATAATCGGTATATAAATGTTGAAACCTGTTGTGAGTCAAGGGCTCTGTGAGGCCTTGGCTATTAGCCTTTTTAGTGTCTAGGTGCCTGTTAACGTTGTGAACAAGGTAGGTCTTGTTATTTTAGGACTTCAGTGGGCTAGCCTGGTCTCGCTATGTGGCTACACCAGCCTTTCCAACGGCTGCTGTTCACTTTCTTACGGTGCAATCTCAGTCCCGTGTTCCAATGCGCGAAGTTGAAAACTTAGATCTAGAAGTAGGACTTAGCCTTTGTGGGCTGTTTTATAGATAGTTCGCTCCTCGCTAATTAGACTACGGTCAGTCCTATTTGCAAGCGCCAAGTTCTAGAACCGCTTCAGTGTCTGTCAACTGATGAATGGATACAATAGAGAAGATACGGCGTAATCACGCAATGGGTTATTATTCAGAAGGAAGAACAAAATCAAGTGGTTTGCAGGTAGGTGCCCTGGAACAGAAAGTCTTCATGTCCTGTGAAATAAGTCAGAGCCCAAAAGACTAGTCTTGCATGTCTTCTATGTTGCCTGAGTGGGGAGGGACAGTAATGAAAGGAGACGGAGGAGAGATTAGGAGAAATGGAGAGGAAGGAGGAGGGGTAATAAGTGAGGATAATGATGCTGTGATGCTGCAATGAAAACCATTCTTTTCTACAAGTAAATATATACTAATGGAAATGCACAAAAGGGCCCTCCGGTGAAAATCTGACGGCGACGGCGGCGACATGGAAAGTCGCGCTTTACCTCCTCCCGTGTCGCCGTATTCTGGTTCGTGGTTCCATGTATCCTGCTATCAGCATTCCTTAACTGTCAGTTCATCTGACACACTCAAGAACTCCACTGTTTCTTCTTCGGGGTGAAATCACGGGGCTTTGTTGCTTGGGTGGTCATTATAGTTGTGCGTGTGCCCCAGTGCTCTGATTTGTACAATTTGTTGGCTTTGTGGATGGTGTTTAACAGCAGGCTGATAGGAGATGGTTTCATCATCTTTCCTGACAAGATGATGAAGCAGAGGACAAGCCGTATTCAGGAAGGTCTTCTTAAAACTATGATGAGTAACTTTATAGTATATAATACATAGCTGTTAGATGAATTCAAGGTTAAGGAGAATAGGCATCAGTTGAGTCTTGTCAGTTGAATACCCATGTGTGGGTGTTGTTATTTGTTACATAGACCCCAGCCAGGATTTGACGGTGAAGAAAAGATGAAAATGAAATTTGAATGCCACAAACAAACCACCAGAAACTTTACGACTTACTTGTTGTAGAATGTTGGAGATAAGACGATAGAGAGGGCCAGGTGAATGTGTTGAGGGATAACTTGGTTACAGTTGGGATTGACAGAAACTTCTTTATGTGAGGGCTACGGTAGGTAGTAACAGGCTTGAAAACAAGATCCCCCCTCTCTTTCCTTCATTTTCCCGCTTACTCAGTATGTTACAGCACTCTGCACAGCTCTGTCGCCTTGTCCGTAGACCAGCCCGCCTCCACTGTAAGTTTTCTTGTATGCATTAAATATAAAATATCCGGATGAATTAGAGGTGATCTCTTAAAAATCAATTAATCAGAGTAGTAAAGCTTAGTGCCAACCTATCTCTGGTTTTATACTCTGTATATGATATTTCTGCTTAAATTTAGTGAGAGAGTAATCTGAACTCTATATGTTTTGTGACTGTGTAGCTTTAGAATACTCACTAAAGAGCGTGTGAGGACTGAGATAAATTTTTAGAAAAAGAAACAATCTCACTGCTGTGTACTTAGTTTGAATGCTCATTGTTAACTTGTTCAATTTCTTGCCTTCATATCTATTTTATTTTGGAATAACTTATTTTTAATGTCCCCACTGAATCAACGTGTATTTATTCTCCATATGAGATATTATAAAATATATGTACTCAGTCACTGTCAGTTTGTATTGATGCATGTATTTTCTCTTTCCCTTGTCCTCCATTCACTTATTTGTTTTCAGTCTTGCATTGGAGATGGCTTTTCTTCAACCAGGACTGTTCACTTTAGTCTCCACCTTATTGAAAACCTTCTGGTCTGAAGGCTAGTAAGGTGGCTTAGTGGGGAAAGGCAGCTGCAGCCCAATCTGATGACCTCAGTTCAATCCTAGGACCCACATAGTAAGTGGAGCAAATTGATTCCCACAAGTTGTGCCCCCATCACTTTGCACATGTACTCACACACACGTGCGTGCACACAAACACAGCCCACAGACAGCAAATAAATAAATGAACACACACATACATATAAACAAACAAATAAATAAATGTAATCTTAAGAAAACTTAAAAAGAGAACAACAGCCTGGCAGCTCGGGTACTGGGGAGGCTGAGGAAGGACGCAACTTAGTGAGAATATGGAGGACATAGTAAAATACTCTCACAAAATAAAATGCTAAAGAGTAGTTGATGATACGGAATAATTGGTGATTGTCTAGAATGCACAAGTTTCTGAGTTCAGTCCTTAGTACCAAACAAAAAAGTATTTGCTTGTTTTTTTTTTATTAATAAGCGATGATTGCTTTTTTCAGCATGTGTGTGTGTGTCATACAATAGTTACAAGAGAATATTAATTAGAACACATCCCACACAAAGAATTTAAATCAATAAATAATTTATATACATAACGGCAGTAAAAATGCAGATATCTCGGCAGTTACAAGGGAAGGCTTGACAAGAAATGTCAGCTCTTTGTCTTACTTCTTGTCTGATTGTAATGTATGTTTCACCTCCTTTGATTTCCAGTCACAGTTTTCATTTGTCTAGGCAGTGGTGTGTAGCATAGATACTTGTGGATGTTTCGAATTTCTTTCTGTATTTTTTTAATTCTTTCTTTTCCTCATTCAGTATGTGTATTCTCTTATATTCCTTTGCATTGATTCCTTCTTCAGCTTTGTCTAACTTGGTGCCAATCTAATTTATTGGGTTCTGTAATTTGAGGGTGCACAGTTTTTTATGTGTGCCTATATATGTAAGCATGTGTGGTGTGTATGTGTGTTTGCTTGTGCATGCATGCATGTGTTTGAATGTGTGTAGGCACGTGTGCATGCAGGTATGTGTGTAGGCGTGTGTACGTGTGTGCATGTGTTTGCAGACTAGAGGTTGACATCAGATGTCTTCTTTGGTTTTGCTTTGTCTTATACAGTGAGGCAGGGTCCCTCACTTAAGCTTCAATCTTACTGATTCTGCTAGTTCTGCTAGTTGACTTGCTGTAGACATCTCCTGTCTCCGCCTCCTGCGTATCAGCATTACAGAAGGGCCTCTATACCCACCTGGCATTTACGTTGGTGCTGGAATTCTGCACCCTGTTCCTTATGCTTGGCCAGTGTGATGGTTAGCTTTAATTATCATCTTGACACAATCTAGAATTACCTGGGAAGAGAGTCTGGATGAGGGGCTTCCTACCCGGGGTTATCCTGTAGAATGTCTGTGGAAGACTGTCTTGAGTAATGGATGGATGTGGGAGACCCAGCCTGCCTTGGGCAGGACCACCCCTTAGAAAGGAGATCCTGGACTGTGTAAGTGGAGAACTGGAGCAGAGCACAAGCAAGCGAGTAGCACGAATGCACTTGTCTATCTCTGCCCTTGACTGTGGAAGTGATGCAAGCCTTTGCCACAGTAGCTTCTCTGCCCTGATGGCCTATTCCCTGGAATTATAAGCGAAATTAACCCCTCCCTTTTCTAAGTTATACTTTTCAGGACATTTTATCAGTGCCAAATAAATGAAGCAGGGACAGCTGCAAGCCTCTAAACAATGATCCATCTCCATAGTCTTAATTTTATAATTCTTCAAAGGCAATAAAGATGAATACTATTTATACTATTTTGATCAGCAGATTGTAGAAGAAAAGGTCTGCAATTCCCGTCTTGGTTTCCTTCAAGATTTGGTATCTATTTATATACACCTTGATCCTTCCTTTTCTCCTGAAAATATAACAAATAGCCACCTGTATTTCAATAAGAGGTGAATAATTCTTCCCTTTCTCATGTAAAAAAGTGATGACCTTTAGACAGCTACTTACAAGAAAAAAAAAATTTCTTCAGGGAGCTCCAGTATGTTCACTGTAGCTTTTAGAATTTTTGAGTTAAAATATGTCTGTGTGAGTTAAAATACATCTTCGTTTGGGGGTCTGTCCATTGTCTTATCATGACTATTTACATCTCAAATTTGAGTTCCATGTGTGATAATTTCAACATGCATATCTCTACTCAATTTGTTTTATATTTGCCCTCCTGGTATGACTACTGAATTCAGATTGTATAACCAGGTGCTTAGTCAGCATGAAGTTTGGTCTACTTTGCTGGGAAAAG